GGAGCGTGGGTGGGAGTGGGGACAGCATCAGGTAAGAGGCGGTAACAGGAAGGGGCGGGGGCGGCGGATGGAGGTGTGGAGAGGGGAATAGCCAGCGAGGCGGCGAGGGGGAGCGGGTGAGAGGGGGACAGCGGCAGGATAAGAGCCGTAACAGGAAGGCGGGTGGAGCATGGAAAGATGCCGGGAGATGTGAAGAGAGAGACCGGTGCGAGAGGAGCGTGCGTGGGAGCGGACAGCGTCATGTAAGAGGCGTAAACAGGAAGGCGGGGTGAGGCATGAGATCGGGAGAGGGCACGGACGGGCGCGGGGCGGGGGGGGGCGGGGGGGGCGGGGGCGGGTGGGGCGCTGCCGGCCCATTCGACCGGCGGCCCGCGTCGCGGCGAACGGCGCGACAGCTTCGTAATGGGGTTAGTGCGCCTACCTGGACAATCCTAAGTGGTTTCCCTGTAAACCGCCGCGGTCCGGCGGCGTCAGGGGCCGCGACACGGCAAAGCCGCTCTAAGGCCCCAGCTGCTAAGTGCAGTTCGCTCGCTCGCTCGCTTGCCACACACCCCCAAACCGCCACCGCCGCTACTGCATCGCTGCGCCTGCACCCGCGCGACCCGCCACGCCCCGTTGTTCATTCACATACGCTACGGGACCAGAACGTCCACAAACAACAATTTTCTTGCTTTTCAGTTTAGTTTTGGACCAGCGCTACCCGACAATTCCGAACGTGGTCTCGTGCTTCTTCTGCCTTGCAATCTCAGCACTTGATTCAGGAAGTTCAACAACTTCCTTTGGCGTCTTCCAGTCTGTTGTACAACCAGACTAGTGCCCGAGTTCTGCCCTCCGAGTTTCATTTTGGCAACCTCACGCCACTGATCCAGAACGTCCACAGCACGCACAACATTCTTTACTCTTCGCAACCTCATACTACAGGACCCAGTAAGTCCACATTTTTGTCTGTTGGAGTTTAGTTTTCGGACATCACTTTTCGGCCGATTCCTGTCTTTGATGTCCATGTGTTCCTTTCCGCTCTGCAATCATCCTTTACTCGAGCCACAACGCCCACAGAAACTCTGCAACTTATTTAGCTCATCGGTTTATTTTGGCCACCAGCACATTTCTGCACTCCACTGCAACGTCTTTTTCTTTCACGCTGAACGTTGCGAATTACTTGGACATATTTCGTATGGTACTCGGGAACTAAAACGTAAGCAGCATAGCCGGAAGTTTTTTGCCTCTCCCGTTCAGTTCTGCGCACGATCGCTAACGATGCCCCGTGTTTCTCTCGCCTCTGAAACTCAATACTTTTCGGATCAAAAACGCCAAGACATTATTTGAGTTCTTCAGTTTTAGTTTTTATATATATATATATATATTTATATAGTATATATAATAATATATATATATATATATTATATATATATATATAATTACAGCGCTACTCACCAATTCCTAGAACTCTTCTCACGTGTTCTGTCGCTTTGGCCAACCTATGCAACCAAGTAGTACGTTTACCAACTTTCTTTGTCTCTTCCAGTTTTTGTTTTTGGGAAGACAGCTTGAGCTGATTTCCCATTCCGTGCTTATGTGTTCTTTTTGCCTTTGCAAAACTAATGCTACTCGGTTCTATAACGTCTACAGCTCAACGTACTTTTGGCCTCTGCCATCCTCACTCTACTGGAGTAGAAATCAACAACTTTCATTGCCTCTCCAGTTAGTTTTGCCAGCAAACTTTTTCGGTTTTGAGAGTATACAAACGCGAATTCTATATCAATGAAACTTTATAATCACCTACCGTTGTATATTGCACTTCTCAATAGCCGTTAAAAAGTTAACATTCTGTTATACATACATGAATTCACATTTATTTTTTTTGTTGCAATATGCGTATCTTGATACTTATGAGACATAATAGTTGGTAACTGTATTTTAGATTGTACCGTTTGAGCGTGCTAATAAATGTTGAAGATTTTCCAACTTCTTAACTGAAGAGAGTATCGAGCCTGGTTCAATATAACGCGATCTATCCCATAACATAATGTACAGATAATTTTCAAAATCAATACTCTTCTTTGTTTTAGTTTCGTAAATATTGTGCTCGCGTCTATGCAAGTGAGCAAGCGGTTCACTCGGAACTAAGGGCCTCACCACTCAGGAGCCACTCAAATAAGCGCGCGTTAAACGCCAGATTCCTCGTATGCGAGCAATCATGCGGAGACATTTCCATTTCCAGGGGTGTAACGTATGTACAGTGAAAACTTATATGTCGTTTTACAATTCTCTAAGTGATTTGTGTAGCAAGACAGAAAGATCGGTATCTGATTTCAAATCAGTACTCCTAGCGCTTTGGACGGGGTTAATGAAAAGTTACCGAAGTCGAGTGATGCTCGCTTCTTCGCGCATTGAAGTGTGGCGACAGAATAAAGATACTTTTTTTTTTAAATTTATTTCTCTCTCGTCACAAAGGTCTTTCGAGGTTTAGTTTTACATACTGACATTTTGATTTGGCATTCTGACAAATTGAGATTAGATACTCTGATGTTTAATTCGTTGGTATTGCTGTGTAGAGCAGCTGTATTATTTTGATTTTTTTTTGGAGGGGGGTTGTTGTTAGGATTGCCGCTATCAGAGCAATAGGAAGGGAAGTGAAAGATCATTTAGATAAGGGATAATGTATTGTTTAGGGAGGTTTAGCGATTCTTGGAATTTGGATTTGATTCGCTTGGGATGTTTGCTTTGATCTAGGGAATTTCAGGGCGGAATGAGATGAAGGAAGGATAGAATAGAAAATTTGCTACTTTTTAATGTGTTCGCATCACTGTTTTCAGTGGATTTCTCTGTGAATTTGTTTGGTTAAGTTTAAACCATGGAGGGCTTTAATTGATTTTCTGAGGACTTTATTTTTGACAATTTGCATTTTTTGTATGGTCGTGGAAGCAGCGTTTCCCACACCTGGCAAGCATAAGTTAGTGTGGTAGATATTAGATTTATAGTAATAAGATTGGCATTTGTATTGTGTTGAATTTCGATTTATAAGAGGGTATGTTTTAATTTTTAGCATGATTTGTTGATAGCTGCGTGATATGTCGGTTTTCCAGGAACCCTCGCGCCGGCCTCGCTGGCCATTCCCTCTCCCTCACCATCCATGCCTCCGCCACTGCCCTTCCTGTTTATCCTCCTCTTACCTGCCGCTGTTCCCACCACCACCTACGCTCCCCCTCGCGCCGACCTCGCTGGTCATTCCCTCTCTCGCATCTTCCACGCCCCCGCCATCGCCCGGTCTCCCACCTGCCCTCCACTCCCAATCATGCTTGGCCTCCACGCCTGACCAGCTACGCTCCCGCCATCCTTTCTCTTCCCTGCCTCCATTCACAGCCTCCGCCATGCCGTCTGTCCCGAGCTTCGATACCAACTCACTTCTGGCTCCACCTGCTCATCTGACTCTTCATCGCCTCTACCCTACTCCACGCCGTCGCTCCTCCGTTCCCGCTCACCCCGGATTCAGGTCATTTCTGGTCCCACCGTCGACCTCTCTTCGCTAACATCAGGCACATACTTGCTCACCGCCTGTAACCTCGCGTCCAGTTTGCTCTGCTCCCACTATCTATTCCCTTTCGCACATCCTGCTTGTATTCCCCTGCGTCGTCCACCGTACCGCCGTGGCCCTACTGCCCGATTCCGTCCCCACCCGATTCTGTCCCCATCCGTCTCTGTCCCCTCCCTTCTGCTGCCATGCTCTCTCCTCGTCCAGCCGCCTCCAGTCGCTCTTCCCAACCGCGCCCTGCAATACTCCCGTTTCTGTTCCATTGCTGACTCCCTCCGCTTTATATGGAGTACCGCTGTCTTTTCAGGATCTGTTTCCTTGTATTCTTGCGGCCCCGTTTTCAGCTTCGAACACTCCCCACCTGTGCCATGTCTGTCTACACATCCTCTCCATGCCCTCCTCCACGCAGTCGTCTCCGCGTTTCCGCACATCACTTTCCTCTCTCTCACTGTTTACGCCCCTCCAACCCAACCTGCCTCTCACTCGCCCTCCGTCACCCACCCGCGCTGCTCTTTCTATTCCTTCCCTCCACCCGTGTCTTGCATCACTCTCTCCCCTGCGTCCACCACTCCGTATCTTAGCTCTTCCATCAGGCCTCCCACGTTTCCCCTGCCAGACTCGCTCTCCCCACTCCGCCCGTCCTCCACCCCGCTCCCCCACCCTTCTCCAGCTCCGGCCCCGCGCTTAACCGCGCCCCATGTCGCCTTCGGCCCGAGCCCGACCGCGCTTCCGCCCCGCCACGCCGCACTCACTCCAAATGTGGCGCACCGACCCTGCTCTCGCGCTCCGTCCCTACCTTTAGCCTCCGCCTCCGACGACGCCCCCTCCACCGGCGCGCCTGCTGGCGGCACTCTCCGGCGACTAAATACACAACTACACTACAACCACACTGCGATAGAACTGCGATCTCACACCCCTCTTACCTGCCTTTCACGGCCAGAGGTGTGGTAATTCCGTAATTAAGACACTGTCCCTTATTAAGGCAAGATAAGCACTTATAGGTAATTTATTTTAATGAGAGCTGCGCACGTTGTTTAATTTGAAAGTGTTTTGACTTTTATTTGTATGTACAATTCCAAGTAGTTGCTTGTCATTTGTTGCTGTGGGCACCATCTGTGCATATCACAATACTCTCTGGTATATGCATCTTGCTTCTGAATGGAAGGTTAATACGCATATATCCCGCCAGGAAGTAATGGAAAGTAATGTGTTTTCTCCTGTTATTATCGAATCTATAAAGGGAAATATCTTAAGAAGTATTATAGAAAAACATAGTGATTTTCTAACATAAAATAATTAATAATTTTAGAGTGGTCACTTTAAAGTGGTATTATTGCCTGAGAACTCCTTAAATAATAATCAAGTTCCATCACCATATCATCTTTAAGGATATGTGAACTGAGATACGAGGTTTTAGTCCGCTCAATAATTTAAGCTCATGAAGCATCGTGTTTGTGTTAGCGAAATGTAAAGCATCATTGTAGCTTAGTGTTAAAGCTACTAACTTTAAAATAGAAATCCACAGTTTAATATCGGTTAAAATGACTAATGTTTTGAACAATTTACTCACTTAATCCGGGTTACGCGGTCACAACATGGACGTCTATAACTAATGGATACTGAGATAACTAAGCGATCAAATTCAATCCTCCACCAGCGGGTCACCTCCCATGCCGAAACAAAGTCAAAGCTCACGTCATGCGTTGTAAAGTAGTGTAAGTTAGGAGTGACGATAGAACAAGGAAGAAAAAGGACGATCGCGGCCGGTCCGAGCCCTGTTTATTAGGGCACTGCTTCAGAATTTGCCTGATATCAATAAGAGAAATCACGAGAAACTACGGATCAGAGCTGGCGATCGCTATAATTTTCCTTCATTCAGCAGCCGAATTCGACGTAGCTACCTACGAGAAGTTAGAGTCGAAAATCCTCCCACTCAAAACCCTGAACGTCCCGGTTAGAGGTACTATAATAACACCCATAGATGCCCTGAACCATCTAGGCCTGTCATGATTTCGAGTATGTAGACTGAATCACTTTGTTGTCTTCGCCGTAAACGGCTCAGACTTAAATCTTTCTCCTGTAAAATTATATTTCTTTATATGTGTATTTTTCCTTATGTTCCCACAACGTTCGACGGACCTTTCTGATAACGCTTCGGCCCACTGTGCTGCCCGGCGACAACCACGGTTGGAGTCGAGTGCGCGGAGAAGCGGTGCGCGGCGGGGCGTGGGG